TGTGTGTGTGTGTGTGTGTGTGTGTGTGTGTGTGTGTGTGTGTGTGTGTGTGTGTGTGTGTGTGTGTGTGTTTTTCCCCTCAGTATTTTTCTAACCTGCTTCACAGTTCGTGGATGTATAGGTGAGAAGAAAGTGTTGTGAGGTCGTTTGGATGAGTTGGAAAAGCCCAGTAAGACCATCAGTTCCTGAAATACTCAAAGTCCCTTAAATCCCCTTTCTGATGCTCAGTTTAAGCACCTTTACATGCCTAAATGCACTGAGTTGCTCTAATGTAATTGGTTAGTTGATCAGTTGTACCTAAGAAAGTGTCTGTTGAGTGTATTTTGCCCATATTGTGCTTTTCTTGTGTTTCTTGAAAACTTATTTTTCAATTTACTTTAAATATGAGTTTTTATGTTTATCATCTTTTCATATATCAGAATAAAAACAAACATTTTAAAAGCACGTCTGAGACTCACCCGTGCTTTTCATGCGAAAGAAATGCAAAGCAACAGGCCAAGCCAGTGATGTCATCAGTAAGACTCCGCCCACATGTAAGAAAGGTGCTGTTACCTGGTCATGAACAAGAGGGGAAAAAAAAAATCTAGTTAAATCTAACACGAGAAGTGGAAATCATAGACACACAGAAAAAGTTACGTTAAGGAGGAGAAGAAGAGCGTCACCTGGAAGGACAGCAGCAGCGTCCTCCATTCTTTACTCCACAGGTTGGACAAGACGGCCATGGCGATGATGGAGACCGTCAGGCTCACCAGGATCCCGATCTGCAAAAAACAGTGTCAACGTGTAGAAACATGAAAAATGTTTCATATGGATAGAAAACATCTTCATTTGGCAACACTGACTAGAATTGATTCATTCTGGTGATTTTTTTTTTCTTTAGCATCCAGTGAATAAAACATCCTAATAAGCTCAGAGAAAAGAATTAGCAGGTCAATTTTAAGGATGATGTCTGGGTGAATATAAGGAGAATAACAAACATGGATAGTATAGTTTTCCACTGTGTGTTTTTCTATCCAAGTATGTTTTTACTGCACTAGCAGTGTGTTTTTTCAGATGGTTTTTCATGGTGGATTAGAATCTGATGGTGTTTTCCACTGGTTTTGAAAAGGTCCCAAACACCACTATGGTCAAATGCAGCCTAAACCATGACCGAGCATCCACTGTGTTTTAAATATAGCTGAAGACACTCGCTGTTGTCTCTCTATCCTGACCTCCTCTGTACTTACTGACGATTTGAAGCAAAAATGTATCTCCATCAGACCTGTTGCCACTAATTTTCAGTCCAGCTCTTGTGTAATGTGGCATATCTCAGCCTTTTTAACCTTCCTTAAGAACGGCTTCGTTACGGCCATCTTTCCACTGAGACTTTTTCTGATGAGACTTCAATGAGCAGTCAATGAATCAACCGAAGGTCCAGATTTCTCTCTCTCTTTTTCCTACTTCTTAAGGAAACGACTTTCAGACACGGAAACTATTTTATCTTTGGAATTTTTCATAGATCCAGGTAAAGTAATGGGGACACAAATAATATGCTTTTGCCACAGACTGCTAGTAACAAAGTGCTAAAAGATATAATTTAAAATCGGTTCTTTTATGTGTAGATACTAGATCATCCCCATATGTTAGGTGATTTTACTGTGCTTGAATGATTCATAGGTCCATGTTAAAAAAAAAAAAAATGAAATCCCTGTGAAAATGTCAGGTCAGCCAGCGTTCAAAGAAGAATTTTGAAAGAACTATTGCTCATGACCACTTTAGTAAAATTAACAGAGAAAATAAAGAAAAGTCCCTTTAAGACTGACAGTAATTATCCACCATAATTACTGTGCAGAAATTCATGTCTGAGCTCAGAATTGAATTTGAAGTCTGCAAACAAAAATCTATGAAAAAGCTGCTGACCAGTTCCAGTGACACTGCATTGACCCGACATTCCATAAAAACTATGAGACACATCACTGAGTTACCTTGTGGCTCCAGTGTAAATAAAGCTTCTGGCCCTCTGACAGCAAGCACACAGCCAGCAGCTGCAGAGACAGAAAAGTACAGACAAAATAAACTTGGGAAGAGATGATGAGACTTTCTGGGCAAAGTCTGAGCTAGTCTGAGGAATAGTTCAAAGTCTATGTGAGATATAGTTAATAAATGCATTCACCAAAGGGCTTGCATTTCTGTACTGGCTTTCAAACTCCCATAATAAAACTGACTTTTGTGCTCAGACAAGCCTGTTTTGTGCTCTTTGTGTTCGGGTTCTGCACTATTTTTATCATTAACTGTAACGTTCCTGTAGCACACGAAACAGGAAAGGACATAAGATAACAACATAGCATAGTGGGTATGGTTATGGGTTAAAAGATGAGCACATAAAACTCCTCTTGCACACAGGAACGTCACATGAATGCATAAGGGCGGCGCTTGGCAAAGTTTAAAGCAGCCAGAGCAGAGTTTATATAAAAACCTGACCTCTCATTGCCTTTGTAAAACTGCTTTCACACTTATGATCTGGCCAGGTTCTCATGAGCTCGTCGATTTAGTAAACACACAAACAGTGAATCTTGTTTCTTTTAAATTTACAAACACCCACTTAAATTTTGAAACTAACACGTATTTCATCTGCAGATGAAGAAAGTGTTACATCAGTTTGGAGTTATATGTTGGAACCATTTACGCACTTGCTTTCTAATCTACCACTTCACAGCAGCTGTCTCGAGCAGCTTTATGTTGTATGATAAAGACCCTGCAGAAGCCCTTTATGGTTACAGTGGGGAGGAGCTCCCTGCTAACAGGAGGAGGTCTCCGGCAAAACCATGGAACTGATTGTTGGGTAAGAAAAAAGAAAGGCAAGTTGCATGACATAACTAGACTACCTCACGGAAAGACTGATTACCACAGTTTCACTGGCCTGTGGCCGATTTATGACTGATTTCATGAGCGTGCCTTTGGACTGCAGGAGGAAGCTGGTCTACCTGGAGAATTCAAAGTACTGGGAAAATATTCAAATCCCAAACAGGAGTGATTAGTGAGCTCAGAAGCGTGCAGAAATGTTGATAGGTGTATTTTTGTACTACGAACAAAGGCAGGCTTACTGGTTCCCATGTTTCCACTCTTAATGACTAACAGCCTCCCAGCTTTTCCTGCATATTTATGAGAGCAATAATAAATTGATCTCTTGCATAACTCTGCAGCAAAGCAAAGGTGTCAAAATGTCAAAGTAGCACAGAAATGAGTGAAAACACCAGCATAAAACTGCTGCGGGGCTGCAGATCAATCGATTTCCCATGAATGGTGGGGGGAGGGTATGATTTGTGGGAGAGAGATAGGGTAGGATGGTTAAGGGCATGGCATCAGCTGGGGTGAGTGGTACACCCAGAGTGCTAATTATTCTCTCTCCCTGTATAGTCGGTGCAGGGCCTGAGGATGAGGAAGTGAACAGAATGCGAATGTTTCAAATCTGGGCGGCTGCTGGAGCGAACAATTTGCAGTTACAAGTTACAAGATAATTTCAGTGATGGTGGATTAAATATATACAATATTTAAGTGTTTGCTTTTATTTTTCGGGTTTTAAACAATCAATCAGTTGCTTCAAATTTGTGTTTGAAAGGAAATTACTAAAAGCGATTGAGGTTCCTATTTTAATGCTGTTGTATCAATAAAATATAAAAGAGAACTTAAATGAACAATCTGTGGTTAAAAAAAAATAAGACTTTTTTTCTAAAAAAAAACTTTCCAAAAACACTACAAAATAAGACAAAAAAAAAGCAACAGTAAAAAGTTGACACCACTTGGATAAATTATCCAGTCAGCTAAAAAGACAAGTAGAAGAAATCGAGATGAGAGATGAAAAGCCAATGCAGCGTTTGTGTCTCACCACAAGCACTGTGACGTAGGTGAAGAAGACCACAGCGACAGCCAGCAGCACCACAGACCACGGGAACCAGAAGCCCAGGTTCCCGAAGTTAAACCTTCAGCCAAATGAGAGGAAGCACAACAGACATGAAGACAGAAAAACGTTTGATACATGTTTAGTCAACAAAGACATATGAACGTAAATTTAGCACCAATGATTCCTGTAGCAGATTAATGTGAACAGCTCTATGTTTACCTACGACAGTACTATAAGTGCAGGAGTCGCTCCACCCACCAGTCAAAGTCATTGTAGTCATTCTTGGCTTGTCCCCAGAAGTAGAGGAACAGCAGCGTCAAGCAGAAAGCCGCCACAAGCACAGCAAAGCTGGCACCCTCCAACTGATGACAGAGGAGACAAAACAATGAGAGAAATTTGTTTTTGTTATTCCCCGAGTTAAATCCAGCCCCCCCGCACTGTTTACTGCTCTGTTTCCGTAGCATTTTAAGACTTCCTCTGAGTTTTACAGAGACAGAGGAGCTCCAACAGACAGCTCTGTTCAGCATCAGCACAATAAAAAAGCGAAATGAAGTTGTTTAACTGTAATGTCTGAAAATTATTTCTCATTTGGTGACTTTTACAGTTGTAGAAATGCAAATACTGAAGTCAATAACTGCAGAAAACAAAACAAAGAATCAACATACTGACACGTCACCCTTACCTCATTTCCTTTTATTGATTTGTTTCATCTTCCTCCAACTGTAGCTGACTTATATTCTCCCACAACGATTTATTAGTGTTTTTTTTCCTATTTGCTGTTTGGTTTGATGATAAAATTCATGTTGCTGACCACATGTGTCTCTAAATTTAACTATTCAGCATTTTTTTCCATCATATTTTGAGTGCTTTTACTCCTCTCTCTTTCCAAACACAGCATCTCAACTTTAGATGGTTTTAGAAAAAGAATTGGGTGCACGGGTTTCAATTTTTGAGTGTGTTCCTCTAATCCACAGAGTCAAAAGTATATATACCAGCTCAAACATACACATAGACTCCTACTAATATTTGGTTAAATGTCCATTAGCAAGTTGTACCTCGACTAGATCCTTTTGATATCCATCAACAAGTTTCTGGCACAATTTTGGGTAAATATTTGACAACTCTTTTGAGTTCATTTGAATTTGTTGCACAGACCTGGCTTTTAGACATAGTCCACAAAATTTCAAAAGGGTTGAGGTCGGGTCTCTGGGAAGGCTGTTCCATCCGGCTTTATCCCTTCCAAAAATAGTTTTGTTGTGCGTTTGGGATCAATGTCCTGTTGGTTGTTGATTTGAAGTGAAAGTGAAGAATTTGGAGGTTCACTATTCCAACCACTGCACAGTCCCCAAGCATGATGCTACCGCCACCATGCTTGACACTTGCTACAGTATTCTCAGGTTCAAAAGCCCATGACAGGGATGAGCCCTGGTGGTTCCTGAACATCCTAACCAGTTTACTCACATTTGAAGATCACAGTTTGGATCTTCTTCCAGATCTCATATTTTCTTGCAGCTCCCTATTATTTTGAGTATTCATCAATCCATTGAGTGCTGTCAAACAAATCCCTTTTATGCTCACAACTACCAACTGTAGTCAATCATGATCACCAATTAGAAGTTAATAGGGCTTGGCCTCATGAAGTTAAAGGACACTGTTGAACCTTCAGGACCACATTACTCAAATGTGAGTGTATGTATGTATTTGAGCCTTTGTGGATTAAAATAGCTTTTTTCCCTAAATCTGAATTTTCTATTTACTCTGGTTATCTTTGTCTAATATTAAAATTTGATGATCTGAAACATGTAAGGGTGCAAACATGCAAAACAAAAAATAAGAGAACAGGAAGGAGGTACATGCTTTTTCAGAGCACTGTATGAGTCAAGAAAGGAAAGGGGGCCACAGAGACGGCTTACGTATAGGGCCTAGAGTTCTGTGCTGATTTCTTATATTGAATCTTTAAAAAATAAATTCCAAAACATTCAGTTTCCCTGGACTTTAATTTTGGTAGGAACGCTAGAACTTAAAATAAAAAACCCAAAAAAAACCACTGAAACTCCTGTAAACTTAACCAGAGTATGATTCATTAATTCCAATGATAATAAACAGATGACTTTGGCTGGAGCAGAAGTGGCTCTTGTGTTGCTGCTTCCTGACCTTGTTGCAGCAGCAGCCCTCAGGCTGACTCCTCTTGTAGTGTTTCCACTGGCAGCCGTACAAACCAGCCAAACATGACACGAAAGGCTGGTGCTCATAACGTTGCAGCAACTTCACACGAAGGCTACGAAACCACTGCGACAATGTAGACGCCATGGCTCATACACACACTGCCACAGCCTCCATCCTGCTCCAACGCACACAGAAATAAGAAAAATCGACTAAGACAACTAGACAAATTCAAATCTAAGCTAAAACATCAGAAAAGAGGCAAATCAAGTAAAACAGGTATAAAACAGAGGCCAAAAGGGTCTTAAGTTTGCATTGAAACTGTCCAATAGCTACTAAAGCATCACTTTTAGGGTGTATTGTGGCATACAATGTGTGCAAGCTAA